ACTTGCCCTCTGGCAGCAGCAGAAATTTTCATTTTCCACCTGCGACGCACGTTACCCTCTGCACTCACTTCACCTTGCGGAATGGATGCGTATGTATGATGAGGGTGTAATGTTGGTTTTATTTTTAAGTGTATTCATCTCTCGCTTATTTCGTTTTTACACCCAACTTCTAATTCGATCTTCCTTGCTATCAATCAACGTATACTACCAAATTCAAGAAATTAAGTATGATGGAGTAAGAGATACATTTAAAAAGAAGATGAAAAAATTTCGTAGAGCTTCATGATTAGGTATAAGGTGCCGAAAGATAAGAGTAAAGGATAAATGAGCTATGCATTAATTTTGAAAGAGTTAATCTTCATTCCCTTAAAATTTAGGTCAATTGGACGGAGTACATGCTGCTGGTAGCGCCACCTGAAACTCACAGTTATATATTGTCAGACCCCTTAGTAGCGGTTCCTAGTGTTGAATATATAAAAGAGTAGGTTATCAAAAAGCAGTTAGAGGCAGAAGAAAACTGACGTTTTTTGATCACATATTTACAGGGTTAACGAAGTTCTCAGTGATACGTCGCCAAGAACCATAACTAACTACGTGATTGTTCAGTATATACTGTCATGGATACCATTACTGGAGAGAAAGTACCGCGGTTTATTGGAGGTGCAAGATCAACTTTTCTAGCATCTGTCTTAATTCGCTCAACTGAGAGCTCACGCAGACGCAAGGAGTTCATTATATCTAAACATTAGTTGATACATCGAGAAACCAATAGACATTACTGTGGAGGAAGGTATGGGTTTTGTCCTTCCACTGGAAATAAAGTGCACACTCTGGTCCTTTCACTGGAAATGAATTGCACAATCTATGTACATGGATTGGGAGCTCGCGTCTGCTTTTTATGTCTGCGGAACAATCATTTGGAGAAAACGTCTGCAGTAAACTTTTTACTTCTGCTGTCTAGCGCTATTGCACATTAAACCGTCCTCGTCAACCAATCAAAGATGAAGCTGTCCGTTAGCCGAAAGCGATAGCGGTCTAGCTCCCTAGGCGAGAGCGAGCAAGGTTGATTCTTCCGAAAGCCCAATTATTAGTTCTTTCTATAATATGAACGGAAAAACTTCCCACCTTATTACTTTGTAGTAGTCCGTACTAGGTGCTGAATGCTTGTCTATCCTATCTTACAATATACAATTCTCCAAAAGTGAGTGTTGACTGGCAGCCAAACTTAACCATTGATGTTCAGTGGTGGTTTTAGCTGGTGCTAACTTAGTTGGGGGGGGGCACGCGGCGGCGCACCTATGAAACCGCCAGGCAGGGTGAATATCGGTCGAGGAATTCCTCGACGGGGGGTCGTATTTGCCTCTGTGGAAGGCGGAGGGGGGTCGTAATTGTCGGACTCAGTATCGGACGATTTGTAAGATACAGGATTAGGGGAAGTGGGCGGGGGGGGGGGCGTCTTACCACCTCTCTCGTTAAACCTCAATGCGTAAGGGAATGTAATAGGATTCATTAGTAGCAGGTCCCATCGCCATGCTCTTCAGCCCCCCCCTCGTGGTTATGTACCTGATCATCTCAAAAGCGCATGAAGTAAAACGGCGGGAAAAACGCACTACATTTGTGAACCCCAACACAATTTATGTCTTGACGATAGACGAGGTCCCGCTGCTTACATCCCTAGGCTGTCTTAAAACAGCTTCTCTGGGGCCGAGCAATATTGAGGCTTCAGTGTTCTCTTGATCATGTTTTGTATCTCGAACTGTATCGGCATCTCCTCTACCACTCAGTCCATAAACCGTCATTGAGTGCGTGACATAAAGATTTACAAGTTTCTGTTTATCGCCATAAATTGCAAGTGTAAGCAACTGAGGCTGGACCGTGACTGGAAGAATTCCCAACGTTGAGTGCCACTGCACGAGAACCACTTTCCGTTTTTACTATTACGCAGTCTTCCCAATCGCACTTGTCACTTGACTATAAAACTGTACGAGCGAAGCACCGACGCGCCATGGCTAACTGGACTCGAAGCTAAACGGCCGCCCGAGCGTCGTCTATGACCAGCGACGGTAAACGCGAATGCGTTCCACATTAGACCGCATTTGACGAGGGTTTCCAGTAAATCTTGTCCTTGCCAATGACCCTCGTGGCATGAATCTGGTTTTTGAGTGAAGAAAAAACTCCTCGTCATTTTCTCGACGCAGATTTCTCCTTAAGTGGGAAGTTTTCTGAACAAGTCAGGCGACCATTCGAAAGAGCAATTCTTCTACTTTCTTATGGTGTCCATACATTTCCGAACGATCGAGAATTAAAAAAGTTATCGTCTTGAAAACAGCTAAAATACGCATGACAAATTTGAGTTCCTCGACGTTTACTCGACGTGGAAAATCTCACCGAATAGAGAGTCTTTAGGGCAAGTTCAAAAATAATAAAAAACTGCAGTTGAAGCTCTTTCAAAACTTACCCGCCGTTTTTCTAAAACATCAAGTTTTGAAAAAGTTATTAAGGTTCGAAGCATAAGGGGAGGAGGCAAATTTTCGAGATAAATCGCTCCAGCGCGTGAGCCGCGCCGCAGCCGCGTGAGGGAACAGCTGCTCCTTCAAATTCGGTGACTCTATCACTGCTACGTCCTATTTATCATTTTTTCTCATTGCTGTCAATCTTTCTTTCCGGTGTGTATTCGTGTAGAGTCGGTTCTCGTACAATAGTAGAGTTCTTTTTTCCAGGATCTTTGTGTAAATCGGTGTTTTAGCGCCGTAGTCGCCGCAAAGAGGTGAATTCTCCGTTCCTATTCATCATTTTCTCCCTCGCTGTCAATTTTTGTTTCCTTAACGTGTGTGTACCTGTAAAGCCGGTGCTCATACAATAGGAAACTTTTTTTCAGGATTCTTTTCTTGCCGTAGTTCCTTTTCTTACAGCAGTTATTGTACTTCAGCACTGTTTTGTTGGCATTTGATGTGTGCGGGAAGTAGTGTTGTATCGAGACTCCGCTTTGCGGAAGGGGTCGTACCAAGACCCCCCAGTTTAGGGGGAGGGTCGTATCACAGATGGGTTTTCCTCGACACGATTTTCACCCTGCCGCCAGGCCATGCTCAGTAGATATAGTGTACACCTCACCGTCTGTTATGTGTGTCCATGGATTTGACGTGGCGGTCACCGCACTTCATACAAGACGCGAGGAGAAGCTATTTGCAACACCTTGGTTGGAAATCAGCAAAACGTACTGGAAACACGCATCCACACGACTCCTATCAAGTGCAGCGCCGCCACGTCACATAAATAGACCCGTCCAATCAGACAACGAGATATCAAATATACATTTCTTACAAATATCCGATGGTGAATAAGTGGAACTAGCATGTTATCATTCACTTCTACGGAAGATTAGTTCAATTGAGATGTATAGCTTGTGTGTCCGCAACACTGGGGCAAGGCTAAATAAAGCGCAGCTGAGTGTTACCATTAAAATCTGACACAGAGATCTAGATGACTCAACAGGCACCGAACAAAGTGATCTATTCTTTGATGTGGTAAAAGTTATGAGTACACAACATCGCGGCGCGTGGTGATTCGAGGATTCATTTCGTCAGGGAAAGCATCAAGAATTCAATAGCAATGGAGTTTTATTAACAATTTCACCGCAAAGAGCTCCATACAACTGAAGTTGCTCATTGGAAGTGTGTGTGTTTGTTTGTATACGTGTGTGGCACGAAATTCATAACCAGCCAGCTGCAAATATGGAGTGCCTCATTTTGAGTACCGATGAGCTCCGCACTCTACCACGCGCATGATATGGAAATCCAGAGTCAAGGGAGGCGTTCGAGGAGGAGTTACCCCCCTTTTCCCTCACAGGCCGAAGTCCATGAAGTGACCTCTTCAAAGCCGAACTATGAAAAGGTTGTTCAATTCTCCCCGAAACTGTTCATAAAAAAGCCCTGCTACCCCACCTCCATCAAAGTCGTTCAAGAAGTACAAAAGTAAAAAAGTAGGAAAGTCAAAGAAAGATCATTATCAATGAGTCCTACCAATAAATGGAGCAAAAAACGACGAACTAGTCATGAAAAAAGCAGACTATGGCAGCATCTCTTCTTCCTTTACTTTCTTTAGAAGGCTTTCCAACTTTCAGTACTACACAGCGTACGTTCTCAACATAACTTCACTTTTTGATTGAAAAATCCTTGTAACCGTCTCAGCCAGCTGTCGTTGATTGGTCTTTTGCGTTGGCCTTGGAGCAGCTTATCTACTATTGAAATTTGAACAAATATTCAAATGATTATAACTTTCTTCAAAGTGACGAATTTTCAATCTGAAAGCAGATTTGGAAGTTTTGTGAAGAGCTTTTTCTAATCAGTATTGAAATTACAAAAATTATAAGAAATAACAAATTTAGATCAATTAACGAGGAAAATTCATGATGAGCACGATTTTACACATTTTCGAAGGCATAACTTGCTTCATTTTTGCCCAATCTAAAAGTTATTACGCTGTTATGAACTGGAAAATTTACTCTATTCAACTGTTTCAAGAGTGAATAAAGTGGATCACACACTTCGAGTATCAGCTTTATTGTAATAATCGGCCGAGAGAAGAGAATATAGTGTCCGAGTCCTGAGATGCCGTCGCCGCCGCCTGCCGCTCCGTCGTCGTCCCTTTCTGCCCTCCTTTGTGCTCCACGCCTCGCGCTCACTGAAACCAAAACATTAGCATCGCTGAAGCCTCATCGAACGATCAATCTACAGTACCTAAGCTCAAGTCCCTTGAGCTTACACCTTCCCTTTTTATCCAAAAAGATGTAGGGTCATACTTCCCAATTCCCTCCCTTGGGCAAACTTGAAGTGTGACGACGGCGAAGCGTCTATGATAAAGCAAACACTTACTTCATTGTGGGAGGTGCTCCCTCAGCGCTCTTTCCGAGACCATGGCATTGTTGGCGCGCGAGCCCACGCAATAACGGTGTTCCAGACGGGAATTGTGCGTGTGTCAATCGGACAGTGCCAGTGTACGCGATGCTCACCAAACACAAGCTCTTCGAGAACATCACGAGAAACAGCGAATGTCGAGGAGCGCAGGTGCTCGATGCGGTCTACAACAATTTGTCCTCTTATAAAATAGCTGGTTCCGACTACATGTATGCTGACCGAACAGCAAAACGAATCTCCTTCGATGGCAAGTCCCTCGAACTTGATTCAGATCAGATGGCTGCTATCCGACTAGGATGTGATGATCGCCGTCCAATTGTGGCCATTCGAGGACCATTTGGCTCCGGAAAAACTCTGGTTGCTGCTTTAATAGCTGCACGGGTTGTACGCAAACAAAAAGGCTTTTCTATCATCACTGCCACCACAAATGGCGCAGTGGCGCAAATCACCGACACCGTTCTGAAACTCGATGAGTACAGAGACCTGCCCGTGCTGCGCTACGTGTCCGACACTTCGCTTATTGAAGGAAATCCTTCGACCACTGTCGATATAAATAGCATACTCAAGCGCCTACCCGATGATTATTGAACGACGACAGAGGTACACGAAAGATCCGTTGATGCCACCGCGTGGCCAGAAGAAGTCGCAGAATCCTGCTGCTTATTAGAAGGATCCGTAGGTGCCGTCACACAACCACCTCGTGTGCTACTGTTGGATGATGCATCCAACGCAGACTGATCACTGGATGCCACTACGTGGCAAGGAGCAGGCGAAGGGCTTCGCTGCAAACTAGCAGTACCCGTGGAAGAGATATCTGTAGACGATGCCATTGCATGGCCGGAGGGCGCGGTACCTGAAATTGACAAATATTGAACAAGGAAGCGTGGCGCATATCATGTAAAAGTGAGCACTTACCCTAGTCTCATGGAAAGACCTTCCCTCAGTGCCGTTGCGGAGACGATGGCGTTGTTAGCGCGAGCCCACGAAATGACGGTGTTCCAGAAGGGGACCGCGAGGAGGGACCGCTGATGCCCCAGGACAAACTGCCCATGCCGGCAACGGGTGAGGGCGACGTTCATGCGGCGGGGGTCGTCTAGGAATTCTGACGCGTTGGGGTCGAAGTCCGTTTTCGTGGTGAGAAGTACCACGACATCCTTTTCCCGCCCCTGCACAGCGTCGACCGTGGAAAGGTCGATCCCCTGTGACTGCGCGAAATCCGCCAGCCGACGGTGTTGCTCCTTGTAGAATGTGATGATGCAGATGCTGGCTGCGGGAACTCCTCGCCTCATAAGGCGGTCTATCAGTCCCGTGCATACTTCTGCCTCGGCCTCGTTGAAGTGGGAGTGGCTTTGGGCCTTCTGCGAAGTACCAGCAACGTCGATGAACAAAAACGGCAACTGGTCGTTCGGAAACCGCATGATGTTCAGCAACATGCGACGTTGGTCGTCCCTGACCCCGCTGCGTAGTGCACCGCTGTAGGCCAGTAGGTTGGGGAGCCCGTTGAGATTTGGATGGGCCCTAAATGTGGTAACCAGCGGCGCCATCGGAACGGCGCGTGCCTCAGACAAGACGTCCATGACGCTGCGAGCTCCGAATTTGACTGGGTTGGAATTACGGGAGCACCGTGCGTACGGTTCCAGTTGATGCACATCTCCGATGTAAATGTGTCTCACCTTAGGAAGACGGCTCATCATAGCCGCGAAGACAGGTTCGGGGACTTGCGAAGCTTCGTCGCATATCAGTAAGGCATATCTGTCCAGCAAACCGGCGAAGATTCCATTCTTTCCGGTGGCGTTGAGCAGAGACGACGTGGTGATGGCCACAATCCGAGGGGTCGCCTTCGTGAATAAAATTGAGACAACCTTATCAATCAATTCGGATACGTCTGTTTCCGCTAGAAGGAACTCCTCCCGTTCTTGCTCGGTGAGGTTCATGGCACGCTCTCGATTGCGCATGAACTCCTCATACCGGATGCGGCCGTCGCGAAATCGTTGACATATCAAGAGTTCTTCGTCCGACAGAGTCTCCTCCATATCCGGCAAAGCCTTGAGCAGCTCGTGCAGGTCGGCCGCCGTTGTCGGTATAGATTCGTCGAATGCCACTGTTTCGGCGACATAGCGGCATATGACGATGTCCTGGCTCCGCTCAAGCCCCAAGAGGGTCTCAGTGAACTGAGCGACTGCAGCGTTTGTGGTCGCTGTGACGATTATAAACTGATTGGAGCATGCTTCCGTTATGGCGATGGTGGCTCCGACGACCGTCTTTCCAGTCCCATATGCCGCCTGGATACCACAAATAGGGAAAGCGGCTACTCCAATCGCGCAAGCTTGACATTGATCTTCCGTGAATTGGATTGTGCGTCCATGAAGTGAGATAGATATGCTGAGTGCATTTACAATGCAACGTGCGAGAGGCCACAAATGCTTCTCATCCTCATTAAGGCAGCCTAAAGGTGTGAGTCCGTACACAGCGTCCATGATCTTGTGCGCCATACTGCCAGTTGGAATGTCCGAGAACAGCCGCATATGGGTGACCGCTTCGTAAGCCGGGATGGTGCTAGATGAGAGCTTCCCAAGCTTGACGCAGACTTCCAGAAACGCGGAATTCCCAGCCAGTCGTCCGACGTGATTGGTCGCACGTAGTAGGGATCGGTGTGACCACGGGTAGGCTCGGAGCTGAATACGGAGCTGCCGCATTTCTCGCACATGAATGACGGCCTCCACCGTCATGCGGACGAAGAAGAAAGCCCCCATGATCCAAACATCCACGGGACGATGACGAGACCAGCCCGCCTCGGTGCTCATGCCCGAAAGAAGGAACTCTATCCGCAACGGATAGGCGGAGAGGCTGGGCACGGTAGCTGTGACACGGTGTGTTTCCTTGTCGTCATCCATGGAGACGTACGCTGCCAACGCCGATGAAGCTGCGTTGAAAATCCGTCCCATCCGCATCGTGGCGTCCTGGCGATCGGCTGCAAAACTGTCGAAGTTGTGAAGACGATCTTCGAACCAGCGCGACTCGTTGGGATCGACCTTATACACTTCCATGGGGACCATCGCCTCACCGGGGTTCGCTGGGAGGAAGTTCTTCACCAGACGGCAAAGAGTGTCACGCGCCCATTGGGATGCGGGTGGTTCCGAAAACCGCACTGCGCACGAGCTGTTCCGACGACAGAGAGCCCGTAAGATCTCATACTCGTTGACGTTAGGCCAGTCGAACCGGCACAGTGAGCGTGCGATGGTGACTGCTTCAGGAGACCCCTCGATCGCCATGCGAAAGTTGTTAAGGTAGGCGCCGCGTCGAGTAAGGGACACTACCATTCCGTATCGTGGCTCCGTCCAGACCGGCGGCGTTACGAAGGCGAAACGGGCAACTCGGAAGAAATAGGTGGAATTCGCCTCTAGAGCTGCCGTGCGGGGTATACGGGCTCGCGCGAGCTCAGCTGCAGGTGACGATAGAGCCGCGGCGACGGGCATTAGGTCGTACACCCAAATGAAGTCTTTGATAGAGACGAGTGTCCGGTCGTAGCCATAGCGCTCGCTTTCCACGTTGAACGCGAACTTATCCAGCAGAATACAGTGGAGTTCGAGTCGATCGGGCATGAAGATGAAGAAGTCCTTGGCCTCCAACACCAAGGAGTTTGATTTGACCGCAACCACCTGGTATATCACAGGTCGCAAACCCTTGAGGTAACGAGGAGCGACTACCGATGTCCATGCTCCTTTTGCTGCTTGCCTACCCTCGGGGGGCTGTGGCTCTGGTTGAACGTGACCCCTGAGAGCAGCCTGTATAATATTGTCGGCGTTCCCGCGGAAGACGACGGCGTCCTCGAGAGATGGTAGTTCCAGGAACGGAAGTGATGCGGTAACGAGGCCGTTTATAGGTGTAACTCGCGGAAAGAGCGACCGCACGAATTTAAGCTTCAGGTATCCCGGAGTTGGTACGGGGCGATAAATGTCTTCGGATAGCTCGTTAGTCACTTGCTGCGAAGCGATTTCGTGCATACGTAGCTGCCGAGGCTTGACGTATTCGGCCCATGGATGCCGGTCGATCAAGTAGTGCCAAAAACCCTCTGGAGTGTCCTCAGGAAGCTCTTGCGTTTTCGACGAAGAAGGCTTTTCAGCGACGCAGCTGCGACTGCGAAGTAGACGACGTTGGCCCCGGGCACCACGGGTTGTGGAAGTTCCTCGCCGGGGTAAGGGTGCCGTTGTTGTGGCGCGTGCCGGTCGGCGGGAGGTGCCCCTGGGTGGTTGGGGACGCGTGGATGGGTCCTGTACGCGTGAAGAGAAACCTTCTGTGGACGTAGTTGGCTTCTGTGAATCCTCGAACGATTGTGCGAAGCTGAGTTGAGTGGTATCAGTTTGCCAACCCGCACGGAATCGTGATCCAGAAGGTGCTTCCGTGGCTGAGCCCAAAAGGGGCTGATCTAATGAAGATTGCTGAGAGCCTGCAGAAGATGCGGAGACTGACGAAGTCTGCATAGGAGAGCTATGGGGTTGATCGGGATCGGTCGATGAACGCATGTCGACGTCGCTCGCTAGAAGTTCGTCGGAGCTGAACTCGCATCCAGTGCTGTGGCCGGAAACAGTGGAGATATCCACGTCCGTCGTAGGAACGTGGGTGTCTAAAATGGTTTTCAGAGAGTACATGTACGGAAGAGGAATCACAACGTGAAAAAGTTTGTAAAGCCTTACCTGGCGTATGCATGGGAAGATCGGTGGATGCCACTGCGTGGCCAATAGTAGCTGAACGTGCTTGTTCAGTGTCGGCGATTTCTGTAGAGACCATCACATGGTCGGCTGTCTCGCTGCTGGGTTCGGAGACGCTCGGCACGGGTTGCTCTCCCGAAGCGGAAGGCGGGGACGTGCCGGGGGGTGGTTCGCTCTTTAGACCGTCCCCAGACGAGCTCATGAACGCTTCTTTGCACTCGGGCTTTTCCCCAAGCTACCTGCAACATTTCGAGTGAGAGGCGTGCCATATGTCGGACATTTAATAGGAACGCGGCGAACGTCCCCTTTGCGGCACAAGAAATTTAAAGGAGACACAAAGTGACAAGAGCTATGGTGCTGGGGAAGATGTTACTGACACAAAGTGGAAGAAATATGAGAACTAAGTAGAATACATAAAAAGGATGGAGGTAGAATAGTTAGTGTCCAATAGTGTGGAATACCAGAACGGCGTCACAGCGTCTCGCTTCGAGCCCTGAAACGAGTGTTGTAAGGATGACTGTGTGTCTGGGGTGGGGGTGTGGTTGGAGGGGGGACCCCATGATTGTATCCGGTCACCACCGCAGGGGTAGCTTGGGCCTTCGCCAGCGCCTCCTCCTCCAGCTGGGGGCGCCAGGGGGACGTAAAAACGGGTCCGGATAGTTCCTTACATTTCTTGACCTGGTTCATGTGCACCTTCCGTGGTGCCGACTGTGGGGAAGAAAGACTAACGATGGTGAGGTGGGGGTGATCCACCTTGATAACCCTGAATTGACCGAGCCAAGGGTTGCGGAGCTTTTGCGAAAGGCCTACGTGTGGAGTCATGTCACGAAGGTAGACGCGCTCGCCCACCCTGATCGAAAGGGGCGAAAGATGGTGAGAATCATACTGCCGCTTGAATAAACTACGTTGCCGCTGGTTATACTGGTAAGCGGACTGCCATGCGACGTGGAGAGAAGACAGTAAACCTTCGGCGTAAATGCTGGCGTCGTTGTCCGAAGGGAGGTGGCGCTCCAAGTTATGTGTTATGATTAGATCAATATTGAATGCAGGATCTCTACCGAACATCATGAAAAATGGTGTTTCGTTAGTGCTGGTGTGCACGCTAGTGTTGTACATGAAGGTGCACGCTGCGACAAATGTATCCCAATTACGCTGATTTTCGTTGATGTAAGTGCGGAGCATGGAATGGAATGTAGCAAACACTCTTTCGCAAGCGCCGTTGCCTTCGTGGTGGTACGGGGTGCAATAGTATTGTCCTACCCGCAGCATTTTGCCAAGTTCTGTAAACAGCTCGCTCTTGAAATAGGAAGCGTTGTCAGAGACCAGCTGTGTCATGACCCCGTACTTCAGGATACCCTCGGTCATAATAGCGTGCGCGACTGACACCGCGGTGCAATCCCTAAGTGGGCATGCGACGACATACTTTGAGAAATGATCAATCATGGCCAAAATATATTTGTTGCCGAAGTCGGTAACGTGCAAGGGCCCGGTGAGATCGACATAGACCTTCTCAAAGATGGCGCTGCTAACGACCGGGATAAGAAATTCCCGATTGGCGGAAGCACGTCGCTTCCGCTGACATGCGTCGCAAGTGGTAGCCAACAGGAATACCTGCTCAGTCATGTGAGGCCAATAATATTTCCTCCGGATTTTAGCGAGGGTTTTGCGCCAGTGGAAATGTCCCCCGGCAGACGGGCTAGAGTGAAAAGCAAGGAAGACAGGTTCACGAAGTTTCTCCGGTAATACTAAGCGATCGACGTGCTTACTCGAACCACGTTCCTGGTAACGGAAATAGAGGCATCCGTTGCGCCGGATGACGCACTGCTCAGCCATTGCTAGTAAGTGTGCTTTGGCAGAATCGTCAACTGAGGTTGGGAATTTTTGAGTTTGAATAAACGTCAGGAGGGCAGAACAGAGTGGGTCGGAATTCTGCTCGATAAGGATGTCGTACGGAACGATTGCCCGTGGACCGGGTTCTAGTGTGGAGGTGGGTCGCATGGTGGAGGGTTCCGGTGCTGCCACCCCAAGACAGTATGGATAATCGATGATATCTTCCGTCTCCCTGGAACCATCCTGAAACCGTACTGTCGTGTTACCTGACCGAGACAGGCAATCTGCCACGACATTGGTGGAACCCTTCAGATACTGAATGGTAATGTCGTAGCTCTGAAGTTCAATAACCCAGCGAGCCAAGTTGTCATGCGTTTTATTGTGTTTGAGAAGGTGCGTGAGGGGCTGATGATCCGAAAATATGTGCGTCCGATTCCCGTAGATTATGGGTTTGAAATATCGTAAAGCACTCACCATGGCGAATAGTTCAATGTGGACCGTGCTCCATTTGCGCTGTGAGTCGGAGAGCATCTTGCTGAAGTAGCCGATAGCCGCCAAAGTCTTGGTGTTGGGCTCCGTTTCCTGAAACAATGCAGCACCAACGCCGAGCTGACTGCCATCCGTGTGCAGAATGAAATCTCGGTCCTGGGGGAAAGCCTAGGCACGGGGTAGAGGTGAGTAGCCGTTTAAGTTCGGAAAAGGCTTCCTCTTGGGAAGGCCCCCAGGAAAAGCGAGACTTGTCCTTGGTAAGTTCATATAAGGGAGCCGCAATAACGGCAAATTGAGGAATAAACCGCCGGAAAAAATTCGCCATGCCGACAAAACCTTTGACTTCTTTCACTGTTTTGGGGGTGGGAAAGTTCCTAATAGCGTCTACGTTGCGTTCGGCAGGAGAGTACGAGTCCCCGGAGATAACGTGACCTAGAAACGTGACCTGAGAACGAGCAATGTCGGTGAATTTTTTATGTGATATTTTAAGATCAAAGGTCCGAAAGCGCTCGAGAACTTTGCGAAGGGATTGGACATGTTCATGGAAAGATTTGTTGAATATGACCACGTCATCGATATACGCTAAACAGTTGTCTTCGAGCCCTCCCAAGACGCGGGCCATAACACGGCAAAAGTAGGCACCTGCATTTTTCAGGCCAAATGGGAGGTAAGTGAACTGGTATATGCCGCGATGAGTAGCCCATCCGCATTTATACTGGCTCTCCGGAGAAAGCAGGAGCTGCATGTAACCGGAAGCAAGGTCAAGTGTGGTGTAGAAACGATTTCCCGCTATCTTAGCTAGCACGTCCTCAATGCGGGGAAGGGGAAAGTGGTCGGGAATGGTAACATCATTAAGTGGCCTAAAGTCCAGGCATACTCGCAAGGAGCCGTCTTTTTTCTTTACCAGGACGGTATTATGCACCCATGGCGTGTCGCTTTCAGTAATGCGCCCGGATTTGAGTAACCTGTTAATGTGGTCGTCGAGCTCCTTCTGGAATTTCACAGGAATACGAGGCGGACGGAACTTTGTGGGAGGAATCTCTGTTGTGGTTTTAATGCGAATCTGGGAGTGGCAATAGGACCCCAAATCATAAGCTGTGAACGAAAAGCGATCTCGGTATTCCTCAAATAGATCCAAGAGGATCTGTTTCTCGGCATCGTTGACCGACGCCCGCGAGAGGTCAAATGAGGGCCGAGACGAGTCGACCGCCGTGACGCTCCCTGTAGGAGAGACGACATCGATCGGCGGGGAGTCGTCGTACAAAAACGAGGGGCTATACAGTGTCCCGTCCTCCGCGTGAGCTAGCCACACGGCTCTAGCTACAGTTTGGTCCTTGTACAAGACTTCTATCCTTTCCGTTGGGTTAGTTACTAGTACGTGACACCTGCCTGAGGTGATGACGGCTGGAGAGACCATTAGCGACTTTTCAAAAAGATCGGTTCTTTGTATGACCAACATCAGAGGTGAGGGTACGGGGCAGGGGTTAGAACAAGGTACAAACGTTTCCGTCCCTGGGGCAAGCACGGTAGTTTGAGCGACGCGCACGGGAAAATCCCACGCCCTATCTGACTGGGGGTCGGAACTGATGAGCATAATGTTAATGCTACTCTTGCCGACCGTCACCCTCTTATTAGCGTAATCAATGCTCCAGCTGGGCAACCGACGTAGAAAATCGTTGCCCAGGATAATGTTATACGCCTGGACGGAGTTCGGACACCGAAGGCGCGTCGGTGAAGTAGATCGGATGGTGAAGAGAATATTCGCCGATCTGGATGGATGCTAGCGCATACCCTAGCAGTTTGACGGAGGCGCCAGACACACCTATGGCGCACGGGATTGGGCTCGCATGAAGGTGAAAAGCACCCAGCAGAGGAGCCATGGCGCTGCTCGTCAGAGTGATAGCGGCCCCAGTGTCGATCAACGCCAACATCTGAACGGTATTTACTCTGATTGGGATTTGGGTGACGAAATAATGTTGGGGCACATCCAGGGAGCCAACGATTACCGGGGTGACCGAAGCCTTTGGAGGCCACACAGAAGTCGCGTCGAGCTCCACCCTCGTGAACTGAAGGCCAGTAGAGGGGGACGGGGTTTCGGGAGAACCCGTCGCCCTGATCGCGGCTTGAGTGGGGGCGGAGGGCTGGCTTTGAAGAAGATGGGGATAGTTCAGCTTCAGGTACAGTCGTATAATTGCCTTAATCATTAAGAAAGACACATAGGAACAACAGCCGGCTACCCAGATGTCGAACGGCGTGAGTGGGAAAAAATTCCACAAAGAGGGGAGCGCCGGAGTCGCCGAGTAATCAACTTGAGAATTCTGGATGGGACTCTGCGAGTCCAATGGGGATAGTATGCGCTCATACTGACGTGTCTGCCAGAGTTCAGTAAGTTGCTGATCCGGTAAGAGTTCGCTAACGTTCGTTAACACCAAATTATGGAAGATTGTTAGCGGGACGGAGGGTACCATGAGGTCTACCTTGAAAGGATCGCCAAGTACGGGGATGTCCGAGCTGAAAGCTGGAACCTGAGAGCCAGATAGGGGGTCGAACCGGACCGTGCCGTTTGAGAAGGGGATAAGGAACGAGCGACCGGTAGTGCATGGAACGGGATCCGCGGTGCTAGAGAGTAAGAAGGTGGAGACGTCGAGGAAGGCTGTGACCTGTGCACCGCTGGGTAGAATCACTTCGACCCGGGGTTTGCTGAAGCAAGATGCGTTGAAAGAGGTCACCCTATAATGTGGACGTGGGATGGGCAAACACCGATGGACTTGCACTAGACCGTTGCCTTGGTATGTCGCCGATATATCGTCCCTTTGAAGAAGACGGCGCATCGTGTAAGTGGGATCGGTGATCAGCGCGGAATGCAGTGAAAAGGCGAGAAGATTGATTCGATCGCACAAGGAAAGAAGAGCACTATGGAATAGCGTAGTGACAGAGCCCTGGATTACGTCTTCCACGGCAAGAAGTTGGGCCGCTAGTTGGTTGGACGTCACCACTCCCACTGGAGGGGGCGACCGTGGGGCCCGTCGGATCGGAGCGACGGCGTACCCTTGATCCGTGACTATTAGGGTGTGGTCACAATCCACAATGGGGGCGCGCTCGGAGTCCCAGGAGAGAGCCAACTCCTTCGATTCACTGAGCCAAACGGTACCCATCATGTGCCCCCTTATTTTAGATACCGCTAAAAACTGGCAGGACTGCTCACGGTCTGGAGTCCATAGCAATACAGAGCCATCTTTCAAGATGCAGGACCCGTCCCTGTAGTTGCAATGGCGGAGATCCCCCACCGCCGAATCGGGGAAAGATGCCCCGTAACGCACGTGGATATGCGTGGGGATAAGGAAGCAATTAGTAACAGTAAGTGAGTGAGTCACGCAGCAGCCAAAAGGGGCAGAGGGCCAAGGAATTGTGAGAGGATGTGAAGTTCTGAAGACACTCCCCACCTTGGTGAGTGCGCCATACTCACACTGGTTATGCTGTGCCATAAGACGACAATGTTCAATGGGAACGGCCTTATGGTGTTCGGAATGGTTTTCATAGCGAGCCCCGAAGAAACCGACCGAATAAGTCACGGTCTGTTCGACGATTTTGCAAAGTGATGCTGGTGTGTCATAACGTTTGCTATTAGGGCGGTAGAGATGAACAGAAAGGTTACGCGGAGGGGAAGAAATATCTGGGATCAAACGAGAACAATTATAGGTAAGAGGAATGCGGATTGGATACTCATGAGAGTCCTGCGGGCAGAACCATGCCGGCTGGCAGAGCCCTGTGGGAAGGAGGGCGCAAGCCAATAAACACAACATTAGTGAATTAACCCCCACGAAGCAGGAAGCGGGGGCAGGTGAAGGAGGAGAGGCCCTAGTGAAGACTGAACGAGAGAGCTCATCGTTACGTTTCAAAAGAGCTGCCACTCGGGCATTGGAATTGTCGAGCGCGTCCTGTTTCTCACGTAAGGAGACAGAGAGAGCGTTAATTTGGTTGCGGGCGTCTTCGAAATCGTCACGAAATCGCGAGTGTCGAGGGGACAAATCTCTTACATGAGAAGGTGTAGGATCGCCAGAAACACGAGAGCGTTGTCGAAACGGCGTACCTGACGGCTTCGGGCCGGACGAAGAGGGTGATGGACATTGGCGAGCAAAATGACCAGCGCCACCACAATTGAAGCAACAGTTAGACGTCGTCCGGGAGCTTGGAGGTGTGCGAGACTCCCGCCGGCGGTGCGTGCTTGGCCGGGAGTCGGTCCTGTGCCTAGAAACAGTAGAAAAGCTTCTGCCATTGATCGGAGGCATGTGAAATCTCACCTGGCGAGGCACTCCCAGTGCAGCAATTCCAGCCGACGGCCCTGTGGGGTTGATCAAGCGCTCGGCCGTGGCTTCGGCCAGCAGGTGCTCCACCGTTTGCGCCTTGTTGACTGCTTGCTCGAACGTAGCGGGATTGTCCAGCTTAACGAAATATCTTATGTCAGGGCGAAGGCGCGCCATGAACTCTTCCAAGCCCCTTTCCTTTTGAGCGGACGGATCCTGACCAGCTGTGGCCGCTCTGACCAAATTCAGCAGGCGATTAGCGAAGACAGCTGAAGACTCTAAAGGTTCCTGCTTGCATGAAGCCAGGGCCTGCCGAGCAAGGTGCCGCTGGTGTGGGCCTTCGAAGCAGCTTCGCAAGTGCTCAAGGATAGATTCGTAGGACTTCCGATCCTCGTCGGCCAATTCTTCTACCTTTTCACGCGCAATGCCATCGAGGTGAGCCACCAAGAAATTGGATTTCTGTTCTGAGGTCGTCACCGCGGGGAGCATACGCATGATATCCTGAAGCCTGCGCACCCATACCGAAAACTGAATGCCATCCCCGGTCCCCGAGAAGGGCGTAATCTTGGGTGTCAGCCCGTCAGTCGTCAGGGATGCCACCATTGGGATGGCCCTTATGTGCTCGTCGACGGCTCCAAAAGATGCATTGAGGCCGGAGAGGAGCGTCGCATTGTTCTCCGAGATAGACTGTGCCAACTGCGCGGAATTATTGTAAGATTCACGCCATACACCAGATACTGCCTCCACCGTAGCATCGCGGAGCCGGTGGGCGTCGCGCCCATAAACCACCGAGGTGCCGTCCAACTCGGTAAGGATGGACGTGAGGGGTTCTGTAACGCCTGCGGGAGGGTCCACAAGGACGGTTCCCTCACCAGGTTTCTTTTCATGCTTAACCGGATCGATCTGAGATTGGGTAACTACGACCCCAGAATCCGCAGCCTTGGTTCGTGCTCTAGTAGTTGGTGGTCCCATGGCAGCGGAAGACAATACGCAGACTGTAGACAGAGTATAGGAATCAGTGACAGTCGAATGAAGATAATGCGGCTGTGGGTGATCTTATATATCGCCAATGGGATCGCCTACGCCATGCAAGCTGAAGAGTTGCCTGCGGGGAATGGAATTCAAACATTTAGAAAGATGCCGATCCCTAATGGATTGCATCACATGACCGAGCACAGTTTCTCAAACCCCCCATACGATAAGCGCGCGGAAACAAAACATTGCTTGTCGGCGATGTCATCAACAGCGCCGAGGAATGTGAGGAGAAAGAAGAAAGCTCGCCTCCATACGAAGCGAGGATGAAGGCGCGGGTGAGTCATCCGCTCCACGATGCATAGAAGCCCAAAAGTACTGGTTGAGAGCTCCAAGGAAGAAACAGAACAAAAAGAGAAACGACTATCTGGTACCAGAACAGAAGGTGTGAGAAGCGTAACGAGAGTGATAGACTTTTATATATCCCTTCATTAATGGTTCATAAAAAGAAAAACTTTAATTATCGGCAAAGAAGAACGACCAGAGACCGTACTGTAAAACGCAACTAAACGTGCCGAACTGATGAGCGTTTTCCAATCTCAAAGGACGTCGACGTCATAAAATACCCTACAATGATTCGAACTCCTGGTTAAACTGCAACTGCAACGCTCCGAGAAACCCATGCCCTTGACATCTCCACTACAGATAACTCCTTTCCGGAAAACACACTGCGCATAACCCATACAAAAATCCAGCGCTGGAAACATCGAACTGCGGGCCGCACAACTTTCTCCTGAATTGAGCTCATTACCATACATCACCGCATTGATGGACTGATCAGTTACTGACTTTACAAGTCACCCGGGCGAAAAAAAACTACAGAAAGAAGCAAAGAATCGCAAAGACGAGGACGAAGTGTCCCGTGTGGCACCTCCGCAAAAAGGCAAAAACACTGGCCAGATCTGATTTTGCCTCACTACGGGGCAGCGGTCAGCAAAATTGAAAATACTGACACTCACCCTCATCGGCCGAAACCACTCGCTGCTACCAGTGAATAAAGGTGGATCACACACTTCGAGTATCAGCTTTATTGTAATAATCGGCCGAGAGAAGAGAATATAGTGTCCGAGTCCTGAGATGCCGTCGCCGCCGCCTGCCGCTCCGTCGTCGTCCCTTTCTGCCCTCCTTTGTGCTCCACGCCTCGCGCTCACTGAAACCAAAACATTAGCATCGCTGAAGCCTCATCGAACGATCAATCTACAGTACCTAAGCTCAAGTCCCTTGAGCTTACAAGATTAAATCGTTGTGGGGTAGGTAGACCAATGTGCATGCTACTTCACGAAACATGTTTCACGCCTTCACCACTATTCTAAGAGTTTTAGGCTCCCCCACTTTGTTAAGATTTGGGGCGCGGCCACGGCGAGCGCGAACGAGTCGATAAGGCCGATGTCATAGTTTGCGAATCGAGCGTTGCGTCACGCTGAATCGAACGCTTTGCCGCCAGCGAGTCATGACCGAGGTCCAGCTGATCATTTATCTGGCGGGCACCCACAGTGTCAGAACTAAGACCGCCACTTTTCGACACAGTGGACTACTTCCAAGTCCCCCACTCTTCAAAAACTGCACTGTCAGTGGACACTGTTTGAAAGTGGCGGCTTCCTTTGAACGTTGGGTCCCGCCACTATTGAGTCGCTGGTACCTAGTTCGACTCGCTGGTGCAACGTTCGATTCGCTGGCGCAACGCTCGGATCCAGCGATTCGCTAGCGAATCGCTCGATTCGCAAACTATGACATCGGCCTAAATGCCGCGAGGGTGCGGCGTAAATTTGAAAAACGCTCCATCACCACAGTTAGCGGACAATGTGGACTCGTCCGCGCTCGCCGCGGCCGCGCTCCAAATCGTTGAGAAAGTGGGGAGCCGAGTTTTTACAGCAATTAAAGGAGAAATTCACGATGAGAACAAAGGTCAAAGAAGGGGAAAATTGCATACTTGGGAGACAGACGGACCTCCTGAGGGTGCTGACCGACGCGCAATTGGCAGCGAAAGATTTGACCTTGGCGATCTAGCATGGCTCACTCTTGGCGCGGTTGGCGGGGTACGCCCACCGACTATCTAATCACTCGCCGCAGGTCTATACGTGGCGAGTGATTAGATAGCAGCAGAGAGAGCGTAGTGTTGAAGAGGGCACAAAGATGAGAGTCGCATAATGCTGAATCAAAGGGCAAGCGATGAGAGTCGCATCAATGCGCAAATCAACGGGCAAGGAAGGGGTCCCATTTCTCGGGTTTCGGGCCGTTTCAAATGGTTTCTTCTTCATCCCTGCTCCACTGACCACCTCTACCCTTATTTCCAATGAGCTAATTTTTCATCGTAAATTCTGCCTTTAATGTAAAGTGATTCACTGGTTATGGGACAACCTAATAAAAGCTTTTTATTTGAGATGCGGTATCGAAATGTATAACGTACCGGCGATGTTGTCAAGCGACTGGGTAAATCGTGAAGAGTGGTCCGATGACGACGAAAATCCATTTCGTGGTGATTATCGATTCGTCTATTTTGGAGTGAAGGATTCTTGGTAGTTTATTTGTAATTTTGAATTCATGAAAATGCTGCAGAACATTTTTGTTCCAGACATCGAAACTCTTACATATAGAATTCTTTTTAGAGACCTTCCCCGTATTTTATTTCCCTTAGCTCGGATTTTACTGCTTCGGCATTTGCGCATTTATGTGAGGTCGTATATCTGGCAACGGCAAAAGTACAGATTCAGGACGAAATTCCACTCAGATGTGATGTCATCGCATAGTTGGTCAGCAAATATTTGCGGTCGTAAATTATGGTATTTTGTTCCTCCTGGCAATGAGAACGTCTTCATGAAGGGCAAAGAAATTGCTGAAGATATCAGAGAGTATCAGGATCTGTGGGAAAAGGTGAATGCACTTATTTTCGTCCAGTATTGTTTTTTTACCACATTCTTTGTAACGATTTGAGATTCAAACTCCATATTCCTCAAAAAGATTGGAAAGGGTACCCATTTGATGGCCTTCATACCCATAGAAAGGGCCAGCTAATTTACTTTCTGTTGTGTGCCGTTGAATTCAATTGCATTAAAATTAGCAGTAGCATTTTAATGGACATTTAGCCTATTGCAAGGTGCAGTGTTGGGTAGTGGGTTCGTGCCAGCCAAGCATACCAAT